CTATGATGTTTTATGCCTTCCCATACTATGATGTTTTATGCCTTCCCATACTATGATGTTTTATGCCTTCCCATACTATGATGTTTTATGCCTTCCCATACTATGATGTTTTATGCCTTCCCATACTATGATGTTTTATGCCTTCCCATACTATGATGTTTTATGCCTTCCCATACTATGATGTTTTATGCCTTCCCATACTATGATGTTTTATGCCTTCCCATACTATGATGTTTTATGCCTTCCCATACTATGATGTTTTATGCCTTCCCATACTATGATGTTTTATGCCTTCCCATACTATGATGTTTTATGCCTTCCCATACTATGATGTTTTATGCCTTCCCATACTATGATGTTTTATGCCTTCCCATACTATGATGTTTTATGCCTTCCCATACTATGATGTTTTATGCCTTCCCATACTATGATGTTTTATGCCTTCCCATACTATGATGTTTTATGCCTTCCCATACTATGATGTTTTATGCCTTCCCATACTATGATGTTTTATGCCTTCCCATACTATGATGTTTTATGCCTTCCCATACTATGATGTTTTATGCCTTCCCATACTATGATGTTTTATGCCTTCCCATACTATGATGTTTTATGCCTTCCCATACTATGATGTTTTATGCCTTCCCATACTATGATGTTTTATGCCTTCCCATACTATGATGTTTTATGCCTTCCCATACTATGATGTTTTATGCCTTCCCATACTATGATGTTTTATGCCTTCCCATACTATGATGTTTTATGCCTTCCCATACTATGATGTTTTATGCCTTCCCATACTATGATGTTTTATGCCTTCCCATACTATGATGTTTTATGCCTTCCCATACTATGATGTTTTATGCCTTCCCATACTATGATGTTTTATGCCTTCCCATACTATGATGTTTTATGCCTTCCCATACTATGATGTTTTATGCCTTCCCATACTATGATGTTTTATGCCTTCCCATACTATGATGTTTTATGCCTTCCCATACTATGATGTTTTATGCCTTCCCATACTATGATGTTTTATGCCTTCCCATACTATGATGTTTTATGCCTTCCCATACTATGATGTTTTATGCCTTCCCATACTATGATGTTTTATGCCTTCCCATACTATGATGTTTTATGCCTTCCCATACTATGATGTTTTATGCCTTCCCATACTATGATGTTTTATGCCTTACTATACTATGACATTTGTTGACATTTTTATGCCTTACCATACTGTGACTTTTTTTGACATTTCCATACCATACTATACTACTTACTACTATACTTACTTTTTTGAAAATTTTATTGCCTTAGTATATTATGACGTTTTTTAACATGTTTATGCCTTAGTATACTATGATGTTTTTTTTTAACATTTTAATGGCTTACTATACTATCACGTTTTTTTGACATTTTTATGCCTTACCATACTGTGACTTTTTTGACATTTCCATACCATACTATACTACTTACTACTATACTTACTTTTTTGAAAATTTTATTGCCTTAGTATATTATGACGTTTTTTAACATGTTTATGCCTTAGTATACTATGATGTTTTTTTTTAACATTTTAATGGCTTACTATACTATCACGTTTTTTTGACATTTTTATGCCTTACCATACTGTGACTTTTTTGACATTTCCATACCATACTATACTACTTACTACTATACTTACTTTTTTGAAAATTTTATTGCCTTAGTATATTATGACGTTTTTTAACATGTTTATGCCTTAGTATACTATGATGTTTTTTTTTAACATTTTAATGGCTTACTATACTATCACGTTTTTTTGACATTTTTATGCCTTACCATACTGTGACTTTTTTGACATTTCCATACCATACTATACTACTTACTACTATACTTACTTTTTTGAAAATTTTATTGCCTTAGTATATTATGACGTTTTTTAACATGTTTATGCCTTAGTATACTATGATGTTTTTTTTTAACATTTTAATGGCTTACTATACTATCACGTTTTTTTGACATTTTTATGCCTTACCATACTGTGACTTTTTTGACATTTCCATACCATACTATACTATGACATTTTTTGACATTTTTATGCCTTATGATACAATGCTGTTTTGTGATATTGTTATGCCTTAGTATACTATGATGTTTTTTTTTAACATTTTAATGGCTTACTATACTATCACGTTTTTTTGACATTTTTATGCCATGCTGTACTATGACATTTTTTTTTCTACATTTTTATGCCTTACTATACTGTGACTTTTTTTTTGACATTTCCATACCTTACTATACTATGACGTTTTTTTGAAAATTTTATTGCCTTAGTANATAATTCTGTACTATTACTTTTTTAAAACATTTTTATGCCTTATGATACTGTGACATTTTTTTTACATTTGAATGCTTTACTACAATATAGAGTTTTTTGCCATGCTGTACTATGATGTTTTTTTTAAATTTTTTTATGCCATAGTATACTATAACATTTTCACGACTTTTTATGCCTTACTATACTATGACGTTTTTATTCACATTTTTATGCCTTATGATACAAAGACGTTTTTTGACATTTTAATGCCTTAGTATACTATAACATTTTTACGACTTTTTATGCCTTACTATACCATGACTTATTATGCCTTACTATGCTATGTTGTTTTTTCGACTTTTTATGCCTTACTATACTATGACATTTTTATGCCTTATGATACAATGCTGTTTTGTGATATTGTTACGCCTTAGTATATTATGACGTTTTTTTTAACATCTTAATGCCTTACTATACTATGACGTTTTTTTGACATTTTTATGCCATGCTGTACTATGACATTTTTTTTTTGACATTTTTATGCCTTATGATATAATGACGTTTTTTGACATTGATATGCCTTACTATACTGTGACGTTTTTACGACTTTTATGCCTTACTATACTATGATGTTTTTTGACGTTTTATGCCTTACTATAATATGAAGTTTTTATGACATTTCATGCCTTATTATACTATGAGGTTTTAATGACGTTTTTATGCCTTACTATACTATGACGTTTTTTGGTATTTTATGCCTTACTATAATATGAAGTTTTTTGACGTTTTTATACCTTACTATAGTATGACGTTTTTTGGCATTTTATGCCTTACTATACAATGATGTTTTTTTTTACTTTTTATGCCTTACTATACTATGATGTTTTTTGACCTTTTATGCCTTACTATACTATGATGTTTTTATGACTTTTTATGCCTTATTATACTATGACATTTTATGCCTTACTATACTATGACATTTTTATGACATTTCCATTCCTTACTATACTATGACATTTTTTGACATTTTTATGCCTTACTATACTGTGACTTTTTTTTTGACATTTCCATACCTTACTATACTATGACGTTTTTTTGAAAATTTTNTTCCATACCATACTATACTACTTACTACTATACTTACTTTTTTTACATTTTTATGCCTTATGATACTATGAGGTTTTTTGACATTGTTATGCCTTATAATACTTGGCTTTTTTTGACATTTTTATGCCTTATGATATAATGACGTTTTTTGACATTGATATGCCTTACTATACTGTGACGTTTTTACGACTTTTATGCCTTACTATACTATGATGTTTTTATGACTTTTTATGCTTTATTATACTATGACATTTTATGCCTTACTATACTATGACATTTTTATGACATTTCCATTCCTTACTATACTATGACATTTTTTGACATTTTTATGCCTTACTATACTGTGACTTTTTTTTGACATTTCCATACCTTACTATACTATGACGTTTTTTTGAAAATTTTATTGCCTTAGTATATTATGACGTTTTTTGCATTTCCATACCTTTACTNNNNGTTACTTTTATACCTTACTATAATATGAAGTTTTTTGACGTTTTTATACCTTACTATACTATGACGTTTTTTGGCATTTTATGCCTTACTATACAATGATGTTTTTTTTTACTTTTTATGCCTTACTATACTATGACGTTTTTATGACTTTTTAACCCTTACTATACTATGATGTTTTATGCCTTACTATACAATGATTTTTTTTATTACTTTTTATGCCTTACTATACTATGATGTTTTTTGACTTTTTATGCCTTACTATACTATGACGTTTTTATGACTTTTTATGCCTTACTATACTATGACATTTTATGCCATACTATACTATGACTTTTTTACAACATTTCCATACCATACTATACTACTTACTACTATACTTACTTTTTTGAAAATTTTATTGCCTTAGTATATTATGACGTTTTTTAACATGTTTATGCCTTAGTATACTATGACGTTCTTTGACATTGTTATGCCTTATAATACTTGGCTTTTTTTGACATTTTCATGCCTTATGATATAATGGGTTTTCTCTGGCTACCTCCTGCAATCCAGAGATGCACACATTAGGTTAACTGACATTTGGCCATTTTGTGCATTACTATACGATGACGTTTTTTGACATTTTCAGGTGTTATTATACAATGCAGTTTTTGACATTTTTATGCCATACTATACTATGACATTTTTGACATTTTTAAGCCTTACTATGCTATGATGTTATTTGACATTTTAACGCCTCCCAGTACTATGATGTGTTTTTTTTTTATTTTAACTAATTTTAACATTAACTAGCTATTCAGAAACTTGATCATCATTTGTCATTAGTTTGTAGCACTTGGTAGAAACCTTCTCTTCAGTGCTGTTTCTGTAGACTTCCACATATGTTTCAACATTGTTATTTAAAATTCATACAATCACAGTAAATTGTCAGAGGTTTTACTGTTAGATCTCCCTCTCTGCTTTGCATCCAATGTTCTGTTTTAGTTACTAAACTTCTTGTCATGTGTGGCCTTCAAAACAGATTTCAGAACAGTTCGTATCTTCTTTTCTGGCCCTTATCTCAGCAGAGCGTCCTTCACAGGCCATATAAAGACCAGAGTCTCACTCTGCTACTTTGCTGTCACTGCCGAAGACAGCCAGTATGCTGCATGCTGTTGTAAAGCTCTGCTGTGGAATCTCCTACCCACATCTGAGGAGTATGGCAGGTAAACAACTTTTCTATTTGTTTCTTTTTCTATGCAAATGCAGCGATCCTGCCTCCTGAGTTTTTTTTTTAATGCATCTCATAACTGTTCAATCATGCAGGACTTCAACGCACAGCTGTGGCAGTGATAGGCCAGGAGATCACACACCTGCAGCCATGGGGACAAATCCAGCATCACATGAGAACACATGCTGGTTTAAATTATAATGGTAAAAAAAAACATCATTCTGTTGGCTTCATTATATTTTTTTCCATGTAGTTGTTGAAATATAACTATGAAGAACATTTTGTAGAGCCCAGACCAGAAGATGCAAAGCCCGTGCCAATGAAAGAAGATCAGCTGTTCTATGTACAACAAGGCCAAGAAGCAATGAGGAAGGCTCTCAGCATGTTGCAGGACAAAGAAGAATGGAAGGTCGAGATCACAGAGGTACTGTCAGACTGATTAAAGCACCTTCTCCAAAGTTCACTTCCTCTGAACTAAGCCGGCCTAGAGTGACCGTTTTGTCAATTATAAATGTCTGTTCATTTCTTGCTCCTGTCCAGAACAATGGGGATGTGATCTGTAGCAAAGTGATGCCGGGTGCCAGGAAAGTCTTCCGGCTGGAGGCGGTCCTGGAGGCCGGTGTAGATGAGCTCTACGACCTGCTGTTTGTCAGAGTGGAGGAGATGCACAAGTGGAATCCAGGCATACAGCATATCAAAGTGAGCTGCTGACCTTTCAACAATTCACAAGAGGCTGCTGCAAATAATTGGATATTTCATTAGCTGTGAGACCTATACAAATACCTCATACTATGCCTAGTTTTAGAGAATATTCAGTTATATAAGCTCAGTGTAGACTTCTTCATTTACTTCATGAAGGTCTAGTTGTCTGCACATTTCCTCTCAAAGCCATAATTCATTGACATCATGCTATGTATTTGCAGCAAGAACTGTAGTTGCAATTCTGTCCTGCAATCCAAGTGATGCTTTTCAAACTGATTTGACATTTGTTTTGTCTCTTGTAGGTTCTGAAGCACATTGGACCTGAAACGATTGTCACTCACGAGGTTTCAGCAGAGACAGCAGGAAATCTGATTGGCCAGAGGGATTTCCTGAGTGTCAGACATAGTTGCAAACAAAAGTCCAGAGTTTATCTTGGAGGAGCAGCGATTCAACTGGACTCGTTCCCACCTCAGGCGGGCTTCGTGAGGTAGGAGGATCATCTGCATATTCAAAGGCTTCATTCAATTTTTTCTCTTACTGTAGTGTCTGTGTAAGGTAATGTCAGTCTTTCAGATGATAAGATGCCAGAACAAAATGGAAAAACAGGAAAATCTTTGATTCTACAGCAACAAATCCAGTGTTATTATTTGTGCTGATATTTTAATTATTTATGACAGTCTGTGGTAATTTACACTGCATGGAAGCACAATATCAGTGGCCTTAAATGTCTGCAGTCATATCTTGTGTGTTAGATAAAAATGTTTTATAAGCTAGAGGTCACAGTTTGAAGAGTTTGAAGGATATGATGAGAGAGGAAGAGAACAATAGATTCGAATAAAACATTTTTTTAAGATGTTTTATTTGAAGTGATACTTGGTTGACTAAACTTAAATTTCTGCAGTTTTGCCAATAAAGACTAGAAGTCTATGGCTGTCGTAGCAGCTCTTTGAGGCTGTTAGCTAGAATGGTGCCTGGAGCAAAAAGCTAAAATGAGCATGCTAACATATCAGCAATGGTAGTCCCTAGAGTCATACTTCTATGTATGTATGATGTATCTAACATTAGGACATGGTAAATTTTAATTAATTTCTATACATTGATGAACACAAAAAGATGATGGATGTTCTTATTTGTCCATATTCTAATAGACAATCAACTAATCCATAATAATATATTATCAATACTTGGTTGAATGCTAATGAGCTAATGAGTTTGTTTGCATGTTTACAGAGCTGAGGATGGACCAGGCTGCATCATCATACAGGCTCTGGACGGAGACACAAGAAGAAGTCACTTCACATGGCTGCTTAATATGGACGTGAAGGTAAATTCATTCGTACAGGAAACAGGAAAAGGAAAAGCATCTGCAGCCTCCAGTGTGTGCAATATTCATTTGCTGTGTTGTTTCTAAACTCCATCACTTCTGCCAGGCTTTTATTCGGTGAGCAGTAAATTTCTTAGATTTGCCATTTTCTGCTGTGGCAAATAAACGAACAACGCAAAAACATAACATTACCACACACAGTCAATATGTGATGTAGATCTGTAGTTTTCGGTCTGGGACATGACTCATTAAAATGATCACTGTTGAGATGCTTCTAAATATTTGATCAGAATCTGCTCTTTAAGATGCTCTCGGTAAACATCAAGCCCTTGTTCGTGTTCTCCCAGGATTAACAGAACGGAACCCAGCAGACACAATTCACTGTGATATGAAAGTACTCAATTTTGAGATAAGGAGTAGCTACAGAAAAATAATATACAGTCATAATTAAGTACACTGGCAACTGAGATAAGGAACCAGACCTGAGGAGGAGTGAGTAAACAGCACAATCAGCCAGCAACAGTGAGGCAAGTGATGAATGAGGAGCTGGTGGTTTACAGTGAATAAAGTGCTGGCTTTGTGGAGCTAGATGTAGCTGTTGGAAATCCCTTAACTCATAGAACATATGCATTATTTGAACAATGTATGTGTATATACTGTAGGTATATATACATACATTATGTCCTGATAGATTATTGTAAAACCTAAGTGGCATTTTTTGTAGTATACAGCTTTTTTTTTATCTTTTTTGCCCCACCTTTTCTTTCATGCTCTATTCCTAAGCATGAAAATTCATTCTTGAACTTCATATCTTAAGGGACTTACAGTCAAGATGTCTCAGCCTCCAGTGGTTCACTTACTAGCTTTGTTTTGTTGGAGTTATCACCTGGATGTCATGGTCTTCATCAGCTGATGGAGTTTGCTCTTTTGTCATGGAGATAGCTCAGTTGTCAAATTGAGAACAGTGAGTGACAACTAAACAAACTCCATCCACTGATGAAGATCGAAATATGTGGCTGAAAGGCTGAGAAAAATCTAGTAACTGGGCCTTGAATCAATATTATTTTGTCAAACAGCTATTTTTCTGATTGTCAATATTATTTCTTATTTCATTTTCATGTAACTGTTTTTAGTGCGGCATTACTGTTACTGGTATGAGCATACTGTAATACTGCGTACTAATTTGCTTGACTTACATAAATGCATATTGTCTATAGGGAACTCTATTTGCATATGAACAGTAATATTTAATGTACAGCACAAGGCCAACTTGCTGATACACAAGCTCCTTTGTTTACCAGGACTGAACTGAGATCACTTTGTTCTCAGGGCTGGCTGCCAAAGTCCATTGTCAATCAGGCTTTGCCCCGTGCACAGCTGGATTTCACTCGACACCTGCGCAGACATCTCACAGCGGGCGCCACCCTGGGCTGACTGAGTCTGTGTGACACCCACACAGCAGCAGCACCCTGTCATCACAGGGGAAGACTGGGTGATGGAGGCGTGGTGACAGCCTGGCAGCTCGGCAGAACGCTGCCCTTTCAGCGGGAGCAGAGAAATGCTGCCTGGAGGAGAAGCTCTGCTGCAACGCTCTGCAGAGCAGAGCTGGCGGGGACCAATGACAGCAGCCAGGGCCAGCCTGGCAGAAGGAAGCTGGCTTATAATAGGAATTAATGTCAAGTGTGCCACTCAAACTTCATTATGATTTCATGATTAGGAGTAATCACACATGACTAGATGCACTCTGCATATGACTGGACAAAATTAATAAAGTACTTAAATGTGCATATTTTTTCCTAATTCATTTTCATGCTTTCATCATTGTAAATATTTTGAATACCACATCAATAGCAACACTAGATAACATGTGCCTCAGTTCACATATAATAAATCTATGACTCAATTTAGACTATAAAAATCTGTGAATGGAAGGTCTTGTTCTGACCTTGAGGGACACTCAATTACAGTAACTATTATATACTATACAATTGTTTCTTCACATAGTTGTGCATGTTCACCTCTGAACGGAAGCCAATTAAGAAAAAGCTCAATTTTAATGAAACAATTATTAAAAAAACAGTAGATGAACGTGAAATAACGAGAATCTTAGTTCTTTCAAATGTCTTTTACTTTGTTCTCCATACCACTTAAAAATTCAATAAATATTAACATTTAAAGCTTTCATTCACGTAGGTATATACAAGAACTATACAATAAACATAATGATGTTACAAACTGCAATGCAGGAATGGTGTAACAGTATGACCAACCACAGTCTGTAGACTTACAGCATCACCTGTATTTTCCAATTGCAAAACACAACTTTTCATAACTTGAAATTTACACTATATACATTATTATCTGAAAAATATATCAGTTACAAAAAATATCATAATGTGTTTTTTTTTGTTTTGTTTTTTTAAAATCTTTTTTGTTTTTAAAGCGTAAGTAACTGACTTCCACAAAGGCAGACAGGGGGCATGCTACAGTGGGGATTATCCTCACTGCTTATCAGTGAGGATATTCACCAGTACGTTGGATGTGGACAACAAAAAAAGAGCACCGGGGACAGAGATGCCATGAAACTCCCTGCCAGGAATGATGACTATGAAGCCTGGAGTGTGCCGACGGAATAATTATAGATTTAACTAGTGTTTTATTATAATCAATTTAAAAACTGATCAATTATTTGAAAACTATTATTAATTAATTAATCAAATTAGCATTTGAATGATACAAAAAATGACAACATTTGCGAAATACCTGAGAATTAGATGACAAGATCGATACCACTCTCATGTGTGTCTCTTAAATGAGAAGCCGGCTAGCTTAGTTAAGTGTAAAGACCGGAAGCAGGTTTTAGAAAGCTAAAAATGTAAAAAAAAAAAAAAAAAAAAAAAGGTTGTTGCTACATTCACCTAGCACTACTGTGCAGCGATTCAGCCGGTCAGTGACAAGAGAAGTCTGTGAAGACACTGTGGCCAACTGTTCACCACAAAAACAATTATTTTCAATATAGCTCAATCTGACAATTATTTTATGTTGTTACATTTGTTTGGTCTGAAAGAAAATGTAGGAAATGGTGAAAAATTACCATCACAATATCCTGAAAGATGTCAGCTTTAATTTGCCTGGTTTGTCTGTGCATTTAAAGTTTCATCTGCGCCCTGATTAGCCAGCTGTTATGTAAAGCATTGTGCTGTGACCTTCAACTCAAAACAAGAACAGGTGGATGAAGTCTTCTCTGTGGATGAATTCTCATTAGCAAATGTAAAGACCGAAAATAAAATGTAAAAACCTTTTTTAAAATAATTTTTGCAATTAAATTTTACTATTCAACAGACCTTTAAGACCTTTCAATTTTAATCTAATTAGCAAAGATAAAATTGTTTTTAAAAATACATCAATTTATGAATTGATTCTAACTGAACACTCCCAAGGTCTACAGATATTTTGTCGGCACACTCAAGACTCCATAGGGACACGTGCACCTCCATGGCCAACAGTGGCAGGTGGTTTGCAACCATAGCCTTTGACCTTTCCTCATGTTCACAATACCAGTTCAATAGTAGTTCTAATGCACTTGAAAAAACAGGCTTACACAACTGTACACAGATAAAAACATGAATGTAGCAATGCAGTCATCACATTTTGAACACGTCTTGTAGTCGTTTTAGTTTACAGCACCTTCGTTTTGACAACTTTTTTTTTTTTTCTTCCATTTCGTTTTTGAAGCACAGAGGGCAGAGCGACGCAGGTCACTCTGGAGATTTGATGAGGTAACCATCGCTGGTCAGTTCACTGGCATGGAAAAAAAAATTCTTCAAAAACAAACAAAAAAAAACAAAAGAAAATATCTGCAGCAAAACTGCAAGTCTATCAGATGCTGCAAAGGGTGAGCTGATGTATGAGACCGTCTCACTGAGCAGCACGTTCACAACATCGCTCACTGTTCATTATTTCTGAGCTGACAGGGTTCTGTGAGTCGAGTCCCTCTCGGATCCTAAATCGTCCCTTCTTGACCTGGCAGCGACTGGGCCTAAAGTGCTGTTTGGACTGTGCTCTTTAGAGGCACCTCCACTGGAGTCTGCTGTGGGCCGTGGCGGCCCTGGAGGTAGAAGAGGCCCCGGGTCTGAGTCTCCCTTCCCAGCTGTGAGGAAGGGGTTGCTGGTGGGAACCTGGGGCAGAGCAGCACCTGTGGATGGCGAGGCTTCAGCAGCGGTCACAGTGGTTGGCACTGGGGCAGTGGACCGTAGCCGTCTGCTGATGGCTTTAGTGGTTTGGGGCGGGCTCTGGGTCGTAGTGGGTAGAGCAGCCATGGGTGATGAAGGCTGAGAAGGAAAAGAGGGCTCAGGTTCTACTGAGGCCACTGTGTTCTGGAGGTCAGGAGCATGAGTGGCGAGGTTTTCTTTCTTGTTGCAAGACTCACAACAAAGCTTATTATATCCAGGGATGGAACAATAACGGGCAAGAACCTCCATTTGACAGAAAATCGATTTATCCCCAAGACATGGCTCATCTAGTAATAAGAGAGAAGACATTACTGAGAGCAGAGCAGAAGAAAAAACACTTCTACTGTAAGTTTAATACTGATTCCTGAAACTAATTACATATTGACTTACTTGAAGAGATTTTGTGGACAGGGTTTTCAGGAACCCTTTGGTGTATAGCTTCATCTTGTATTGTAGAGTTCCCCATTGTTTCAACAGTGAGAGAAGACACTGGCTGTCCTGGTATAACAGCAAAGACAGGACAAAATGAGGCTAAAGATGTTAAACAGGAGCCATAAGAACCAAGAAAAACTCTTGACAACCTCTTGCAACTGTAGGAACAAGAGCTGTGTTGTTAAGAGACCTTTAATAAAGCCTGGTGCTATTTACAGAACACACCTGGACACCATGTTTTTGACAATAACCACTCCATTTTCCACTCACTTGCCTGCACAGGGAGGAAACAAGGTGGCACTCAGGTCTTTGAAAGGGGAACAACATGGTAAAAGCTGCAAGAGGGCATCAATGTAGAAATGTTTTGACAAAGAAGCTGAAATATCTTTCACTTAAGAAAGTTCCCTTTTGAGAGCTCTTTGTCCTTTAGTACATTAAGTAATTAGGTAAAGTTTATTTGTATCGAACATTTCAAAGACACAAAATGCTGTACATCAATAAAAAAGGACAAACGTTACAGAAACAGAAAAGGGAAATGGTAAATAAAAGTATTAAATAAAAAGGGTATTCAGACGGAGTAACCAAGATCTTGGACAAAGTGCAGTTCGAACAGCTGGTGTGATTCACCGTGGAAGCAGAAAATGTAGTCAGTGACATAATGTTTATGTAAATGGTGTCCCAGGGTGATAAAACATTTTTGCCTACAATTTGGGCTTGTTGTGCCAATTTTTGAGATTGCTGACATAGGTTTATTGTTTCTCTGTGGATAAAATCTGCAATTTCAAACTGTTAGTTCTGGCTAAATCCTGCTCATGTTCATGAGGCTGTTATTGTGTGACCACTTGTTCAGTTTGATCTGGCTGTGAGATTACCTTTGAGTCACAAGAACATTATATACTAAGTGAAGTATCCTCATTTGGCCCTGCTTGAAATCTGTTCTCAGGGGATTGTGACTAAATGTGCAGGATGCACATGAACCACCCACACAGTCGTCCATAGAAACATATAAATGTTTGTGCCAGTTCTTTACAGTCAGTCTTCCTGCATCCATCACAGAACGGAAATGACTCGATCACACAGACCCAGTTTCTTTAGAGGTGCATGTAAGAAAACTGGTCCGCTGGTGAATTGATCAACTGTTTCCTAATGACCTGTACATGTATCTCACCTGGACAAGGACTTAGTTCACAAATAAGGATTGTTTCCGGCTTCTCGCCCTCGCATTCTCCGATGGTGTTGTCGCTGGCCTTGCAAACCACCTGCCTTTGTTGGATTCCTTCGCCACAGGTCACTGAGCACTAACACACAACCACCACACACACACACACACACACACACACACACACGTTAAAGATATAGGAAATGTATTAAACTCTTACTGCAGTGTAGTAGCAGTTCAGTATATATTTATTTAAGCTTCCAAACTCGTGACAGCCACAGTCAGGGTCTACCACATGTGCCAGTTTAATCTTGACACATGCATCCAAGCTGTTTGATCATGTAGAGGCCCATGACATGTTTACCCCAAGAGCAACGAAGACGGTCCTTTTGTTTTATGCCAGAATATTCATACCCCCTTCAACAGAAAGTCTTTACATCCTTCTATACTTTCAAGACTTGGCATATACTGTATTTGGCATATGCTCGTTTTCTTTTTGGGTCGTCCTTTTGACTTAAAAGGACCTGGATTTTTTTTTTTTTTTTTTTTATGAGAAAAGGATCAGTTTAAATCTATATTCATTCTGGCTCTCTGTGTACAAGTGGTTTTGT